CTTCACTAAGTTACTTTATTTGTTCTTTCATATTCACTTTAGCTTTGGACTCTTTAATATTTATATGATCACATATCACATAGGTATATCCCTTTTAGCCTTTTTTATCCATATTAGTTTCTTTTAGCTATACTAGTTTCTTTAAAGTCCTCCTCTTACAATCCCATAGGGATTTATCAAACCTCTAGGTCTAAGAAATGATTGCTTAGGGCTTTTACCTTTTAGATTTGGATTTGGTCCCATTTCTCCAAAATTATACTATTTATTTATAAGTGGTCATTTTATAACCATCCTTTAATATTCTTCAAATGCTTTAAGACATGGGGAATAATATCCCTTAATGTTCCTAATTAAATATTTGCCAAATTGTTTTCTATCACTCATTAATACTCCCACTAGGTCAAAGCCCTAAAGCTCACCCATTAAGTCCCATTAACCTTTGAGACTTCCTCACTATGTAATTATACATTTGGTTACTAAGCAAATGAGCCACTCCTCTTCTTTTTCATAATCAAGGATTTTAGGATAGTATTCTGAAATACCGTAATTTAATGTAAGCTTTATAGATACACTCCCCATCTTCTATTATTAAAGTGCTCCAACCATGTGGCTTGAATAAAGTTTCGATAAGCTAAACAAAGTATTTAAATAGGTAATGCCACTCACACTTACATTAGAAATATTTCAATCTCCTAGAGAAGATAAAGTTGGCTATTGAACATTTCACCAAATCATGTTTATCCATATTTACCTTACCTTTGGACTTTTCAATATTTGTATTATCATCACTAATTCTTTTAGAGTCCTGGATTTACTAAATCTTTTGAGGTTTAAGAAATAATTGATGTCTTAAATTTAAATTTGGTTTTAAACTCTATTTTAGAATCAGTCTTAAACTTAAATATAACATTTTCCACATGTCAGTCATTCTTTTATTCCTTTCTAGAGACAATCATTTCATGCTCATTCCTCAAGTGCTTCTTTGGAAATTTATTTTTTACTTTTGACCTTTTAAATTGAAATTTATGGTCCAAATGTGTTACATTCATTAGACTTCCTCCTTGGCCATTACCATATGGCACACCCTCAACTCCATTTCTGCATTTGCTTATGCACTTATTCTTGATTTTTCTAGCTTAAGTATTGAAATATATATTTTTCTAAATTGTTTTGGCTAGCAACATGACCAAGCCACTTTTCTTTCTTTCTTTTTTTAGTTTTTTAGTTTTTTAAGACCTTCAAGTTAATTTGTGAAGTATTAGCTGCATTGTTTATATTATTTAATTCTAATACAAGTGAAGTGAGCAAAAAAAATATATATATATTGGTTTTTAGAGAAGTGACAATATAACAATAGCTTCCAAAAGAAAGCTGGTGGCCCAAGCATCAGGAGCTCAATGGAACTTAGGAGACATTTAAGAAGCAAAAAATGACTGGAAGGAATATCTAAAAATGTGAAGAATTAATGATCACCATTAAAGCTTGCTAGTTTATTCTTGATCTTATTCATGAGCATGATTTCAGTTAGCTCAAACTCTATTTTCCAAAACAGTTCCAATACTTTGTTTGGGAATGCATTACTCTTCCCAAGGCTAGTGGATTGAAACTTCTCAAACCCAAAACCATGCTATCCAGGTGCTAGTTATGAAGAGAATGGTGTGTCTTCAAATAGCTACTTATACACTTCACTACATATATGATGCTAAATCCAATTGTCATCAACTTTCGATTCATGTAAGCATAGATCTACAAAGAAAACTTGAAATACTATTTGGCATTATTTATGGATTTATGGTGTTTTAAATAATTCTGTTTCACATGGACACTGTCACTGTTAAAACAATTGCATAAATAAAACGAAAAGCAAACCTGCAGCAAATTATTTAATGTAAGACAAAGCTCTACTTATTGCATTGCAACCTCAGAAGAGGAGGCATTTGAAGAAATTTGCCATCCTTGGAGGAGCTGGTTGAAAATGACACAAAAGCCATGGACGAGTTGAACTCTCATGACAACTTGTTTCTGGATAAGAATCTTTGCACAAATACCTTCTCAAATGTGTTTACATTGATCGTCGCTGGAAGCAGGGTAAACAGCAACCTCCAGAGACCGTGGAGTGTGACTATGCTCTGGTGAACAAGTGGCAAGACTCTCTCAAGGAGACCTTGAATGTGCCACCAAAATGGTGGGTGCATATAAACAAAGACGTGAGGCAGGACAAGAAAACATGCAATCGGCTTCCTCATTTCAAAAGCATCCTGTTTCCACAAACATAGGATTCAAGTGAAATTGGCATCTAGATCTGTGCTTTGGAAAACCTCTGCATTAATTTTTCCGTTCCAACCTCATGAAATGCGTTGCAAAATATAACCTGGGAGGTGAGATCAAAACCAGAAAACGAAATCTAATAAAGCGTCTTACTTCTACACTGATACTGATGGGGAAGAGTTCTGTGGCATTTTCTAGTAAGGCTTATAATTGAACTCAAGCTGATATCTTTCATGACATCTGAAGTGATTCTACAGACTCAAGAGTGATCCTCCTCACGAAACTAAAACATGCTACAGGGTGATTTGTGTGATTCTTCCCCATTTCATGCAATTGCTCAAAATCCCATTGATGTTGCTGTCACAGGTTACATCAGCTTCATTCACTATAAAAAATTCTAGTGTTGTAACTGAGAAATATCACAGGCTCTACTGGGACTATTGCGAAACTTCTCAGTGGGTCGAAAATGGACATCTTTGATTCCAGCACAACAATTTTACAGAGGAGATCCCAGCGTATAATGTGTCTTCTCCCCTTGTACTGCTTCTCCTGGACAAGAACAACCTGACGGGAAGCATTCCACATTTGATAGCAGAGATGAAAACTCTCCAGAAATTGCACCGCAACAAAAACAATCTACATGGAAGAATTCCAACAGGCATTAGCCAGCTGGATCGCCTTGACAACTATCTGAACAGTGAAGTTTTGGCTTCCTTGGATCTCTCTTCAGACAAGTTCCAGGGAGAGATCAGCTCTAGGCTAGCGAACTGCTCCCAACTCGAGGTTGTCAACTTGGCAAAGAACAATCTCCCTGGTTGAAATGAGGAACTTGAAGCTGCTGGTTGAGAAACTTGACAATCTGCGTACACTAGCCTGTTGTGAGCGCTGCTGTTGCCGCTGAAAAGCTTTAGGCGGTTCGCGGCAAAGAGGCTCCTGTGGTTCCCTCTCGGAAACACCAGCCGGTCCTCAAGCCTCTCTCGGTTTAATCCCTCCAAGTTCTCCTGGACGAGCTGATCATGCAGTCATAAGGGAGCGACGGTTGATACGGTGGATCGCAAGGCTTGTACTCGTTGAAGCTGTCCCGTTTGCCACCTCTGGTGCCGTTTTGGAAAGCTCCTCGCTCGTAGCCATTTACTGGATGACGATCCATCATCCGAGTAGCAGTCCCGCTGGGCTCCGGGATTTACGTCGTTGAAGTCGGGGCTGCCTCCCATCGGCCACTCGTGGTCGTGTTCTTCCGGAGTTTCAACCTGGACTTGGTGTGGAGGCTCGTCCGGACCGCTTCTCTGGCCTATCGTTGCCGACGAGAGGTTGGAGCCCCCGTTTTGCGTGACGGTAGAGGTGTTTTGAGCAGCAGGAGCTCGAGGAGTTTGCTGCTGCTGGGCTAAAGTTCGGACCTGTTGGGAGCGACGAGCAAAGCCGTGAATGAACGGACACTAGTCTCCTTTTGCACAGTATCCTTGAAAGTAGAAGTAACAGGGAATTCGAGAATTGGAGCTGGGATTCTCCTCCTCAGACACGAGGCTGCGAGAGATCGAATGCCAAGTTATCAGCAAAGAAAGAAAAACTCTATTCTATCTCTCTATCAAAGAAAGACCATTGTGTCTCTCGAGAAAAATCCTGAGAACTCACGGGATGACACAGAGCCAGTACCAACAGTCGCGGAAACTATCTCGCGACCTCGCTGTGCCTAAACTTGCATTGCATTCCCTAAACATTTTTTGGTGATCACAGAAGTTCGAAACATATATTAAATATGATTTACTCCAAAACTATTTTCTTGTTATTTCTTTACTGGATGGACATAGCTCGTATGAGGTATCCATCTTTCACTCTGGGCATTGGCCAGTAGCTTATTGTACTAGTTGGATTCACTGGCTCCCATCTTCATTCAAAGATTACAATTTGTTAGAATTTTTGAAAGAACAAATGGCAACAAAAAAAAGAGGAAAAGGAAATACCTGTATTTTGTGATAAGCCTGTGTATGAAAACGCATAGCTCTAACTTAACGAGTGCACTCCCCGGGCATATCCTCTGTCCATAGCTAAATGGAATAAATGTGCCAGTTTTAGCTGGGACCTGATGGAAGAAAATAAAAAGGCTTGGTCAGTATAAACATGACAAATGCCATACTTTAAATCTGGATGGATCAAATTTTGTTGCATTAGGGTAAATACTCTCATCTAGATGAATTGATGACATATGAACTTGAACCTGCCAATCCTTGGGCAAGGTATAACCTGTGTAACACCATGAAAGTAGATAATAATTGAAGTTAGATTCAATCACTTGTAATCAAACCCTTGTAGCTGATGTCCTTGGTGATTTTACGTGTTACCATCCCAACAATATTAGAAAGCCTCAGAGTCTCATCGACAGCCTGCAAAAAAAAAAACAAAAAACAAAACAAACACTCAAATTTAATATAAGAAAATGTGCTTAGAGCTCAGTACAACCCTTAAAGTGGCTAACATCTGCTTTGTGTCTTCCCAAGTTAACTTGTACTTTGTGGAGCCTTTCTTGACAAAGATTCTCCTTTGCTCCTCCTGGGAATAAGACAAATTTAAACAGTCTACTAATAATAATGGAAATATTTACCTCTACTTCTCTGAAAGCTTGTGGGTTCTCATGTAAGTATTTGATCAGCCACAAGAGAGCAAGAGCTGTGGTGTCGTGGCCTCCCAACAGCAGTGCTATGAGATTGTCTTCCACTTGTTGATTTGAGATGGTTCCAACCTTGTCATCTTTGTGCATGATGAACTCGTCCAGCGCGTCTTTGTGCCTCTCGCCCTTGGCACCTAATAGCGCCCTTCTCTCGTTGATTAGCCCATCCAAGAACGTGTTGAGCCTCGCCCTGGCCTGATCGAATCAAGAACTAGAAAGATCAAAACCACAAATAACATAAGTAAAAGAACCTGCAATGCTTTGCGATAAGGTGTGAAGGGTATGTCGATTGGAAACTGGAGCATTCCTGTGACCAAGGCTTGGACGTCTCGCATGAGATCGATCATCTCCGGAGTGGAAGGCAGGAGTTTCTGACACACGAATCCAATCACCGCGCAATAGCTAAACTGGCAAAGTCGAATGTATATAATCAGATCAAGCATCAACCCGGCATGCAATGTGATCAAACCTTGAGAGTTTCTTCCATCACCGTTACCGTCTTCTTCGACCCCCACGACTCCAGAATCTCCTGAGCCAAGTTATCAATCGTCTCCACATGGTGCTTGAGCGTCTCTGGAACCATCATCCCCAGCACAATTCTCCGGTAGAGCGCATGCTCACTCCCGATAGCTTCGGAAATAATTTTCGGCCCAATCAATCGTCTAAACAAGCCCGAGGGGCCACAGTCAGCGCAGCTGAGGAAGAACTTGGCCGCTTCTACCGTTGTAGAGACGATGGTAGGAGATCCAAGCAAGTTACTTGAGAAAACTCCTCCAAATCTGTAGATATCGTATAGTTATCAAGATCTAAGCGAAAGGCAAAGCAAAACCTCTTGCGTCGAGTAGTGAGGAAGTCTAGAGGGGATTCCCGAAAGAAAGAGAGAGATTCTCCGACAAGGGGCCAGCCATGGCTTCCCGGCGGGAGTTTGATCGTGGATGGTTTGTAGAACTTGCGGGAGATCAGCCACAAAGAGAGTAGAAACACGAGGAAGTAAAGAGCATTCCAGGACTGCAGGACAAGCTCCATTGCTGCGAGAAGAGACGAAGCACTTCTTTGCACGAGTTCTGAGAGAGCACACAGCACATAGCCCATGCACTCAGTTTTATGTGATAGAACATTTCATGTTCATGATTCTATGTTAACCTATTCTTTATTAGAACTTCGTCGATGACTATTGAGTCTTTCTGGCTCTTCCCAGATTGAAAAGGCTCCCTCCAGTCGCTTGACTTGACGTGGAACAAGCTCCATGTGGACCATCCCATATCAACACTCGATTTCCACTTGCATTCCAAGGCAATGAGAAGCTTTGCGGGATCCCATTGCTGGCCATGCAACAATAGACCAAGACCACTCTGATAGCTCTAGTTGATCTTACCACTACAGTGAAAGTTTCAGTAAAAGTTTCAGTAGATATTCTAAGAAGTCTTAGAAGTCTCGCCAAGGGGCTGCCGCTCCCCTTGAGAAGCAAGGCGGGCATCCATCCGCTCGCACCACTCCCGAAGAATGCGTGCGTGATCTGGGCTCGAATTGGCCGTGACCGCATCGATCTGCGCTTTCGTCAATCTCTTGGACAGATTCCTGATCCGCTCGTTGTAGAAGAGCTCGTCCTCCCATGGATCAGTGCCATCCTCCCAATTATGCGCCCTCTCCAGCTTCCTCCGCTCCTCCGTTCTCCTCTCCCTCTCCTTTCTCATCGCCAACCGATTCGCCATAGCCATGAAAAACAACTAGCTTCTTTTAATCCTATGCCCTGACACTATATTTATAGCTAAAAAGGGCTGAATTAAGAAGTTTATTACAGTATACCTTGATTATTCCGTTGGAAAAAAAAAGAAGAAAATTTTGTCATGAGCTTATAATCTTCACCTGGCCGTCCACCCGACCCATCATCACCCTCCGGCTCTCCTCAGAGAACAAGGCAAAGATGTTTGGGCCAGTGAGCTTGTCTTTGGTAGCGGCGTGATCAATCACCTTGCAGATATCTTCGAAAACCTTTTCCCTGTCCATCTGCTCGTACTTGTCACCCTTGAGTACCTCGCTCGCGACGCTCCTGCCACTGCCCACCACCTTCCAATCGTGGGGACTAAACGTCCAGCACTTTGGTCCCAGCTGCGTCGACAGAGGCGCTACCACGTAAACTTTGCCCTGCCCCGCGATGATCAAGGTGACATCGTCAGCCTGTTTCATGGTGAAGAACTTTGCAGCATGATCGGCCAGATCAACACCGTCGGCGTCAGGCATCTTTCCTTGGGCATCACTGAAAAAGTCCTCTGCCTGGATAGAAGAGAATAATAACTCACGTCAGCCAAGAACAAAAACAAAGAAAAAAACAGAAAAAAACAGGACTCAAACCAAACCTCGTGTTTAGCACCGCTGAACGCGAATGCGGTGTTCTTGAGGCTGAACATCTTTTGGAAATCCTCGGACAAGACGTGGTTCTTGACGAGTTCCTCGGGATCCATGCTTTCGACCGCGGCCAAGTCGATTTCTCCTTCCTCGTTCATCGGCAACTTGACCAGCGCGCGGCCATCCACAGCGAGCACCGTGCCATTGCGATAAACTCCTCCCACTAGCGTTGTGCATGAGATCGGCATGGGAGGTTCCGTGGCAACCATCTTCTCCGGGACAACGATCTCGTCAAACTCTGCCTCCGTCAGGGCATTGAGTTTCAGGCAAGCCTCCTGATCATAGCGAGAGCAAGGGAACAACTTTAGATTGAAACCGGAGTTTTCTTTTCCAAAGTCTTACCTTCAAACTGGTTCCGTCTTTGTGAGCTGTTTTAGCGATTAGAGCAGCTTTGTCATAGCCGATTTTCTGCAGGAGATGGTCAGCGACAACACAGAAAACACAGCAGGTATTACCGGATTCAAGGCTGTGACGAGCATGAGCGATTCTCTCAAATGCTTCGCAATTCTTTCTCTATCGGCTTCAATCCCCATCACACATTTCCTGTTGAAAGAATCGACGGCATCTCCAAGCAATTGGATGGACTGCCATGACAACATTATTAGCATAAAAGAAGGTAGAAGTTGGCAGTGAGAGTACATGAAGAAGACATTTCGCGATCAATGGCTTGAACACGTTGAGCTCAAAATTGCCATTCGACCCACCAATGGAAATTGCGTGGTGGTTACCCATCACCTACAGAAAAGCCACGATAACAATCGCAAGACCGAAGTTATCAGCAGGGAATACCTGAGCGCAAACCATCCTCAACGCCTCGCACTGCGTAGGATTGACTTTTCCCTGAAGAACACAGCCATGAAACAGGAAAAACTTTCAAAAAACAACACATACCGGCATAATGCTGCTTCCAGGTTCATTCTCCGGCAGCTTTAGCTCTCCCAATCCGCACCGAGGCCCACTAAACATTCCGAAAGTAAATACACAATTCTTACCAAAGCTCTCTCTCACCTTCCAAGCATGCCGATATCCCACGCGATTTTCATAAGCGAGACCGCGATAGTGTTAAGCGCACCGCTGGCTTCCACGCATGCATCATGTGTAGCCTGCAACATACATCATATAGCGGAAGGCTCTCACGCACAAGCAAAACACTTACCAGAGCTTCGAACTTGTTCGGAGCAGTGACAAAAGGGAGCCCAGTCACCTCCGCAACAGCGCTAGCAATCCTCTTGTCAAACCTGAGAGAAGCAGGCAACGTCATTGGCAGCATGGACGTAGAAGCACGTACCCTTTCTTAGTGTTGAGGCCAGTTCCCACGGCAGTTCCACCTTGTGCAAGCTGCCACAAGAATTTAGAGAGCAATCAGAAGTAAGAGCGCGCTCCTACCTGGTACAGTCGCGGGAGGGCAGCCTTGATGCGCCTGATCCCGTACTTAAGTTGCGTTGCATATCCGCTAAACTCATGGCCGAGGGTCAAAGGAACAGCGTCCTGGAGATGAGTTCGGCCGATTTTCACGATATCGTGAAACTCAAACTCCTGAGGAAACGGTAACCAAATTACTGCAGAGTTTCAAACAATGATAAATAGATACCTTGGCACGTAAAGTCTTGTACAGCTCTCGAAGGCTCGGGAGCAGCTTGCTGTGAATCTCTCTTACAGCTGCTATGTGCATGACCTGAGTGCAGGATTAAAATCTCATTTTCTTGAAGCGAAACGTAAGACAGACTTCAAACTTACAGTAGGAAAAGTGTCGTTTGAAGACTGGCCCCTGTTTACGTGGTCGTTGGGATGCACAAACTTTTTACCGGGTTGCTCCCCGAGGATCACAGCTGCGCGGTTTGCAATCACCTAGACACCAAAGTTCTTCCTTTCTCCTATCAAAATGGAAACGAAAGGAATGTCTTACTTCATTGGCGTTCATATTTGACTGCGTCCCACTGCCAGTTTGCCACACCACGAGCGGGAACTCAGCATCGTGTTCGCCTTGTGCGACTTCGTGTGCCGCTTGAACGATCGCGTTTGCGATCTTGGGATCCAAACCATCCGCGACATTCACCTGATAGACAAAGACTTTAAAGCCTCACAGTTTGAAAAGCCAAAAAAGAAGAACAAAGAAAAAGTAGCAAACCTTTGCAGCGCACATCTTGAGAATGCCAAAAGCGCGCACCAGCGCCAGTGGCATCCGCTCTCTTTCGCCGCCAATCTGGAAATTCTGGAGCGAGAGCTGTGTCTGAGCTGACCACAACCTGCACGACCGCAATGGATCCAAAATTCACTCGGAATGATTGATTTTCACCTGTCAGCTGGAATCTGGAGCTTTCTGCTGGGATTCATGGGATCCACTTCTTCCCGGAACGATGATAAATTCCGGAGTAGCACACGAGTGACATTGCGAGTCCGCGACGCCCTCACCATAGCGCCTATCATAGCTGCGGTCGCTGGGAGCGAAAGGGAAACCCTAACCCTATTTTTCTTGCCGCTGATTGGCCGGATGAAATTCCAAATGAGAAAATGGAAGAACTTTAAAATCTCAAAATGGTAGGGTTTATTTAGGGTTCTTCGATGAAAGTCCGCGCGTCCGTGAAGAAGCTGTGCGATGCTTGCATTTCCGTGCGCCGTGGCCGCCGCCTCTATGTGATCTGCAAGAGCAATCCCCGTCACAAGCAGCGCCAGGGCTACTGCACCGACGCCGCCGCTCCATCGCTCCAGGAAATTGAGCGCGAGGTTGGAGAACAAGAAGAAAATGTGCAAGATCGAGGATTCTTCAAGCCGCGGTAAGCAACAGCAGCAGCATTTTCATCCTCGAGTCGATTGATCCGCTTTCTTTCTTTTCAGTTTTGGATTCGAGGCTGGAGCAATGCTTGGAGCGTTCATGTGTGGTAAGGACGAAACAAATTTCCAGAGCGTGGATTTTCTAAAGTTTCGTGCTTCTTGCAGTGTGGGCTAGAGTAGCAGCAACGCCTTTACTCCAAGCAGTGGCACCGAAAAATCTAGAGCTCTAGTCTCCATAGTAAGCAAATCTTGGTTTTCCTTCTCGTCTTCTCAGCTTGTTCAAGGGATTCACTCCAAAGAGTCGAAGAAAGTGGGAGTGGTTTGCATTGATCTTCGATACTTTTCCATGGAAAGATCATCCAAGGTATGGAGTAGCCTCAAAAAAACAAGATTCCTTCACTCCTTTCTTTCAGTCCGATTCGTTACTTAGAGTTAGATCTTTGCAGAGACCGACGCCTAGATGACCGGGTCCGTCTCATCGCACCACTGCCTTCACCTTCGTCGCTCTCGTGCCGCCTCTCATCGTCCATCACCAGCTGCTGCTCCTGGAGCTGGAAGTACTCCTGGTGAGCCAGCGACTGGGACGTCGATGCGGACATTCTTCGCTGCAACACGGCTTTCGGAGTGGTCGCCAGAGCCCATCTATGCAGCACCACCAGATGATGCGTCACTCTGTAGTGAGTGATCTCAACTCCGGGCTCGGCAGGAGAGGAGAACTCGTCCAGCAGTGAATCCGCCACCTCCATAGTCGAGTCTTGGACGACGCTGGCCTCGCTCTCCAGCTTGAAGTCGGAGAAGACCCTGACGTTGTGATGGAAGAGAAACAGGAACTTCCTCTCCGGGTCTTGCATAGGCTCCACCTTGAGGACTACTTGGACCTGGACGTCGCAGCGTATCACCACTCCAGCGTTCCGAATCGTCTTGTCAGCAGTGCCATCCTCCTCGTTCTGGCTCCGGATGTCATACGAGAACTCGAAAGACAGCCTCCGGTCTCTCTGGGCCAGGGGATCATACACCACGTTGGACTTGCAAAGCCGGCTCTCGGACGACGATGAGGAAGAACCCGACGGTGCTGAAGACGAGGCTGTGGAGTTGACAACAGTGACAACGTGCTTCTGGATCATGTCGCAGGGATTGATTTTGAGAAGCTCGCTGACTGGAGTGCCCGGCTCTTGCAGCTGGTGGACGATTTTGCTCGGCACTGCATGGAAAGAAACGTCTCCGCCAGCGAGGTCCGGGTCCTTCTCCCACAGCCGATCGAAGTTATCAAAGGTGTGGCTGTCATCTCGCGAGTTTTCATCGTGGAGCTCCTCCGGCTCGACGTAGATCATGCACTGGGCCGACTTCTTGTCCTTGAAAGACACGGACTTTGCCACTGGAGGAGGAGCTGAAGAAGCGCCGTCCGGGGCTGGCGTCAAAGTTGGAGTCCGGAGATTTGGATCCTTCTCCCACAACAGCTGGAAGTTGTCGCAAGTCTGATCGGCATCGTCGGCGTTCTTCGGAGTCGGGCCTTCGATGATCATTGGTGGCGGAGGATTGGATGGCCGCCGGAGTGGAGATGGTCGATAGGCCTTGAGGGCGGACTTGAGCTGTGGATGATGAGCCGGAGTTGCCGAAGAAGAAGTGGAAGAACTGCTGGAACTAGCACTAGCTGCTGCTGCTGTTGGTGCTACCAGTGATGGATCTTCCCGACCAGGATGATCAACTCGCTGCTGCTGCTCAACACTTTCCATGCTTGGATCCCATTCCCAGCGTAAACTGGAGCCTGGAGTTTTAGAAATCCTTCGTCTCGCGCAGCGCAATGGGTCAGTTGAACGCGAAGAGTCGCGACTCTACGCTTCCAGTTCGGTTATGCGTTACGGAAGACGAGTCATCACCCGGCGTCGGCTGCCGAGCTTTTCTTCTCGCCTTTCTCGCCTTCCTCTGGCGGACGTGAAGAAGATGACGATGAAGGCGAAGACGATGGAGCAGCGTACTGCCTCTGAGACTTTGCAGCTTCTTCGGCAGCTCGCTTGGCTTCGTTGACGACTTGTTCCGTGGCTTTGTCGTCGGCGGTGCTCTTCTCGGCAGACTCGCGGATGCCTTGCTTGTATCCATCGATGAAACTCCGCACGGCGTCGCGGTACACGGTTGCTCGGGTCATGTAGATCCGCTGGAGCGCCGGCTTGACGTGCTCTCCTCCAAGCTTGACTGCTGCTTCTGGAAAAAAGAAGAAGAAAAGAAGAGAAGTGTGAGATCAAACTTTGCTAAGATCGATCCATTTTTTCTTTTGTTTGCGTACCGAGTTCCTCGTAAATCGATGGAAACTTTTCATCCTGTGGTGTGGTTCCACGAGAAGGGCCAGCGGCAGCACCACCTCCAGCGGCTTCTTTCTTCTTGGAAGATTTCACCACCACGCCATAGATCTCGAAATCGGACGTCCACGACTTCTTGTAGAGCTTCCATGCCTCTCTCAAAGTCTAGAAGAGAAATTTTTTTGAAAAGAGCTCAAAGAATGTAGGCCTACTACCTCTTTGGCGAAGAATCTCTGGCGCCGAGGCCGGCCGGGAGGATTGGGAAGCGAGGAGGGCCAAGCAATCTCCTTGAAATCGGTGCGCAAATAGTGCATGATCTTCCTACCGATGCGCTGCGCTTTCCTCGCATTCTTCTTCCTGCCAATCGATCAACCAATCAATCCCTCAACCGAGACTCCACTGGAATGGATCTAACCTAGCCTCGATGAACAGAGACGCAGATTCCCGCGCCCTCTCGCACCTGGCCCGGAGAAAAGCCGCTGCTCGGTCCCGCATAAACCCTAAACCCTGCGCCTGCCACGTCAGACCCAATCTAGGGAAGCCAATCTAGGGCTGACGTCATAACAATAGAATATTCTCTTTTTTAAAATTCCCTGTCGTAATGGCAGTGATTCGAGTCTTTTCTTTACTGTAAAGAGAGAGAGAGAGAGAGAGTCGTGTTCTTTGAGAACCATGTAGGATCGCACTGTGTCAAGCATTCTTTATTTGTTTCGCTCGCAAATTGCTTCCTCGCCAATGCTCCCAAATGCCCGGATTTCTCTGCCATTGCTCCTGCTGCTACTGCTCCTGGAAGGAAGCCAAAGATCTCCTGGCGGCGGCGATGGAGGAATCCTGGCGGCGCACTCCCTGGACTTGTGGACGATCCGAGGTAAGCTGTCCGAGGTGACCAAGACCCTCGCGGCCATCACGCAGCTCAGCCGCAACCTCCAGCAGTCCTCTACATGGTGGCAGCTCTCAAACGTGGACTGGCACCCGGAGGCGCTGTGGCGATTCCTGCTGCTCGGCCCCCCTGCCGCCGGGATCCTGCCAAACTCCTCCTGGGGCCCCGACCAAGAGCTCGAGCTCCTGCGACGAGGCGGCCTGGCCGCGACCCGAGAAGCCGCGGTGGCCGAGTACACCACCGAGACTGGCCGCCCCGGGACCGGGAGGATCCGGATGACAACTTGGGTGCTCATGTACAACTGCATCACTCCGGACTGCGACATCGTCGCGCCGGTGATCCTCCTGCAAGGTGCTGGTGGCGATGGTCAGTCGCCCACCAAGCTCAACTACGGTACCTTGTGGCAGCAGTTGTTCTTCGCTGTCTCCTCCTCTGTGGCTCCAGTCTTGCTCAGCAGCAGCACCTCGGACATCATCAACAGGACCCGGCTCGTCGCCACGAACCGGTCAAACCTGCAGCTCCGGGTGGTGCGCGAAGGCCTGGAGCAGTGCAACGAAGGCATCGCCATCGGACGATCACCCCTGGACGCGGCCTACAAAGTTCCTCCGGGGATCTGCTACGAGCTCGTCCAGAGCCTCAAGGAGGGGCTCAACCAGACGCGGATGCTGGTGGTGCTCCAGAACCAGCCGCACGAGATCACCTGGCCTTATACCCGGCGTCCACTCCACGAGTGCTCCACCGCGCCGGTTCTCACCAAGAACCTCGAGGAGTTCCGCGGCTGCGCCTTCTCCGCCACCGAGAGGCGCTACTATTGCACCAACTTCACGATGAAGGACTACGCCGACACCCCCTGCCGTGGGAACAAGATCGCCATCGCCCTCTCCAACTTCCAGCTGGCCTACAGCTACCTCCATGGCCGGACCTCCACCAAAAACTTAACGGACTCGTTCGAGCTCGTGAACGATACCGCGCCTGGAGCTCCATGCAACACCAGCGGCCGGACGAAGGCCGCCATCTACAGCGTCCATCACAACGGCTTCGATCTCTCGAACAGCATCTGGGAGGACACGAGCGGTTCCCGGACGGAGGAGCTCGAGCTGGGACGTCCGGACGGGAGCTTCTGCTTCTACGGCCTCGGCTCGGACGTGGCGGAGAAGAGTCTGTCGTATCTCCGGCGCTGCAACATCACCATCGCCTTGAACACCAGCGTTCCCAGGTGTGATATCACTGCTCTCGACATCGATCTCCTCAACGTGATGTTCAATGACACGGTCACGGCCTACGCGGACGAGCACAACACCGCCTTCAACATGGACCGGGGGCCCTCCACGGATCTCTTCACGGCCTGGGCGGCGCTCGTCACCGCTGCGGTCTCGGTGGTGACCGCCACCGTGCCATGCACCAACCTGGAGCTCGAGTACCTGGCCCGCTTCGTCTACCCGAAGAAGCACGAGAACCTCAAGGTCCTCAAGTTCTCGGGGCTGGCCGCCATGAACGTCGCGTTTGGGATGATCCTGTACGCCCCCATCTTCGCCATGATCCTGAGCGAGTCCAAGCGCTCGGAGTCGTACCACACCTGGTCGCTCTTCACCAACGATGTCAAGGTGAACACCTTCGGCACCCAGCTCCGCAGCGTCTTCATCGTCGAGGGCGAGTCCATCTACAAGTCCCAGATACTGTGGATCTTCGTCGTCGTCTGCGCTATCTCGTTCCCTCTCATCGTGATCATCACGCTCCGCCGCTGCTACAAGGTGTTCTACCGCCGGAAGCTGCTGCTGGACGAGCGTCGCATGACGTATGGAGATGACAAAACGATGAGCAACGCCGAGGGCAGGGAGCTGAGCATCAAAGCCATCGAGATGGGCCTGTCCGAGTTCGTGAGACTTAAGGAGCAGCTCAAACCAAGCAACCGGCAGAAGGACTTTTAAAATCCAACACATACCCTTTAAAACCGCGGAGGCAAAATCTTTTCTAGGCCAACACCGGTGTTGGCAAGTCACGCAAAGGGAAGCCAGTCACCACTATTTCTTGCCGTGGAAGCTGATACGATATGCCAAGATCCTCCATTTGTTGCCGCATGTATAGAAGCATATTGCTGCGCCTTTGGAATCGCTCGCCACCTTCCTGGAGTGATAGAAAAGAGTTTGCTTAGAGAAAGAGAGAGGACAAAAGTAAAACCGGGATAGAGGACCTGGAAGTTGAGGTGATGCTGCATCCAAAGTGCCATCCTCATCCTGTTGCTGTTCTCGATGTCTTTGCAGACGATCCGAAAGTCAGGATACCAAAACTGAGGAAGGCTTTCGATGTAGCGTTGCATCCTGTCCTTCAGGAAACCGAGCTTCTCAACCGGAGTGTTGGCGCTAACTTGGAACTCGATCGCATCCCACTGGTCAGGGCTGCGATGGAAGTTTGACAGCGGCTTGGATGCGAGAACCGAGGTCGGGTAGTAAATCTTCTCGTTCGAGCCTCTGCGGCGAAAAGCAGAAGCAAAATTCAATCACACTTCAAGGATAAAGCGACAGAATACGTACGTGAGAAAAATTGTGTTGAGCACATTCATTTCCTGCAAAAACTTTTTCTTTTCGTAAAATGTTAAGAAAAGAAGTTGGAAAACGAATACCTCGACCAACAAAGTCTGGCCATCGACACATACTCGATCTCCAACGTCGTAAGGATGCACAATAAACAGAAATATCAACGCTTCGAACGTCCCCTTCGCCATGTTGCCGAAAACAAAAACAGAAGGTATGAAAATGGAGGAGAAGAACACCAGCAGCTTGGAGGTGTCTACTCCGAGAATAAGTAACCAAATTATAAAAAGCACCACCACCAACACCTGCAAAGATAAAGAAGAAAACGTTAGAACAAATGGAGAAGAAGAAAGAAGAATCGATCGACTTACAAAATCAAAAACTCGATGGAGCTTTGCAACAACGGTTTTGTTGTCACTCAAAGTGAGCGCAAGAGCCCTACGCTCCTTGTAGACACTGACGACCCATTTCACGAGCGCCTTTTTGGAAATATGCCCCTGGTCTGTGATCTCGAAAAGAGAAAAGGCCCTTGCTGCCTGTTCCTCTGGCAGAAAATACAAGAAGTCCCTGAGTGTCAGGTACTTTTGCCCAGGCCTCGCCATGTTAAAAAAAATCTGCCACGAAAACATTTCAGAAAAATTGAGTTTCAATTGTAAGATACCTTTTTGGCGGCCGACCTTGCCTCAATCTCGCTGTCGATTTCGGTTTCCCCGTTTTGGGAGAGCATGGACGAGTAAGTCGTCATGTTTTTGCTTCGGATCGTCTTCATTAGCCTTCGGAGTGTCCAAGCGGACACCGTCTGTGAGAAACAAAGTTTAGCCAAACAAGAAAACATGAAAATCGTTTTAGCTTACTTGTGATGTCAACTGCTGCAACCTGTTCTGCTCTATCGGAACGGGACTCTTCGCGATCAGAGGAACAGGCGTTTCTGGCTTCTTTTTAGGCGTGCCTGAAAAAAATGAGAGACCGAGCCTCCTTTTCGCCGACTTGGAGGGTGTTTGTACGGGGTTTTCGACATCTCCTTTAGCGAAAGCCCACTGAGAAGGGCTCGCAGAATCCTGCTCATGCGGCTGGCAAGAAAAATCAGCTATAAAATGAAAACTCAAACTCATCAAGAAAAAACCAACAGACAAATGAAAAACTTTGACAAGCAACATCGGAGAAAAAAGGGAAAACTTACCACTGCTGGAGGCCTTGCGGGATTTGAAGAGTCAAGCAAACAACCATGCGCTGGGGGAGCTGAAAGTGTTTCCAGGAGATACTGGCTGAAAATGCAGTCCTGTATTCTCTCAAAATACGCCGATCTGTGAAAACTATTTGCTGCAACCTTCAAGATCAGCACCTTCAACATCCATGAAATAGAGCCAGTGAGCAAACACCACAGCACCTGCATGATCACACCAAACAGGCTATGTCCTGGTGATTACAGAAAGAAAAACTTGGAAATCTTACCTTCGTAACGATCCTCACGGTTTTCGTATCCTCTCGTCCGTTGAAAATCACTTCCCAGACCCCGAGAGTCAGGCCAATCCAGATGCAATTCTTCACAGCCTTCCGCAAGCCGTATACGAAGTAGAGCACTCGTTTCTTGAAGAGAAAACGCCTCTCTATCAGTGCTACAAAAAGCTTCCAGAGAGACAAAATCCGTCAGATCCAAGCCAGAAAAATCAATCGAAAGAGAGCCTACCTTGACGATCCAGCTTGCAATAAGTCGGCCCGAGATAACAACGAGCGCAAGCGCTTGCCACCTCCAGAGACTAAGTTGCAGCCAACTCTTCCCTTCAATCTCCTCGATCTTGAGCGAGCATACGAGCAAGGCAGTGAGGATCAAGAGCGAGACCCACTGGATCCAGTAGAGCCACTCGCTCTCGCCCTTGTTGAGATTCTTATCGCCGGGTATGGAGTCGTCGTCCAGGGGATCCTGATCATCCTCGAAAGATATCGACTTTGCGGAGCCGGGTGTCTTTGGCGGCGAGAACCTCACGTCGTCACCTTCAAACTTCCGGCTCTTGAGAGTGGAAGTGATCTGGTTCCGGATCGCGGGAGTCATGGGCGGAGGATCCAGCAGCCGTGTTCTCGACCTCCCAAAGTTGGATTTTGGAGCGATCCTGCGCATGAGCGGCGGCGTCGTGGGATCGTTGTCACTGTCGCTCTCGTTTCCATAGCTGTCCACACGAGAGGTCTTGCAGTTGTCCGTGGTGGAGAGCTCCGGCGTGAGTGGAACCGGGACTGTCACGGTGATGAGCGATGGCCTCCGGGACCTGTAATCCACCCTCGCGGACGCTGACATTTGCGTGGACATCTCTGAAGCCGAGCTAGCCACGATCGAGGCCAAGGGAGGAAGCGTAGCTTGCGACTTGGTGACTTGAGCTGGAGGAGGAGGAGGAGCTCCATCTCGATCTCCCTGGGAGACTTGGATGTCCTGGACCTGGTGGTGGCGATGGCGGTGGCGCTGGTGGTGGCGATGGAAATCACCTTCTTCATCGTCGTCGTCGATGGTCACCTCACTGATGAGCGTATCTATTTCCTCGGCATGGTGACGTCCTGCCATCGCCGCGAAGAGCAACACCTAGCCGGACATTCTCACCTTTCATGGTGAGATCATCCAAACCTTTCATCTCCCCTGCCGCCGGGGGGCTATGAAAGGTCAAGAGTCTTGCGTTTCTTCTTGGCTGACGTGGCAAGGAGAGATTCTCGGTAGCGCTAGCTACTCCATACCTCGCTGGATCTTCCAACAGCGCCATGGATTCTTGCTGCGTAGCGCTCGGATGGAGGACGCGCGCCATTCCATTCCATTCCCCTCTTCTTGCCCTAAAGTTTTCTTTAAGAGCCCTTGGGATAAAGAGGTTTAGGGCTTTTCTAGGGTAAGAATGAGCGGGAGTGGCATTGGCGCTGGCTCCGCCAAGACGCCCACGGATTTCCTGCGCTCGATCAAGGGCCGCCCGGTGGTCGTCAAGCTCAATTCCGGCGTCGATTATCGAGGTAATGGATCCATTGGCAGCCTAGAGAAATCTAAGTGGACGGTGCCCGCGCAGGGATTCTGGCGTGCCTGGATGGGTACATGAACATCGCCATGGAGCAGACCGAGGAGTACGTCAATGGGCAGCTCAAGAACAAGTATGGCGACGCTTTCATCCGTGGGAACAATGGTATGGAGTAGGGCTCTTTTTCTCTTCTCTATTTGATCATTCTTCTCTTCTTGCCAGTTTTGTATATCAGTACCTCAAAGAAGGTGATTTCTTAAGAGAGACGATGATGCATAGAATTCTTTTTTCTCGCTCCTTTGTTGCAATTTGGTTCACAAGGCACTCCAGACAAGCTTTGGATTTGCAACCTACAGGTGGAGACTGGTCTGTCACTAGCGGCCAATTTACGAAAGAACAACTACATATCACGACTATGTGAAACACAGCCATCGACGGCCCAGAAAATAATATTGCATATTGTCGTATTTAGGTAATCTTTTTCTATGGATTAAAAATAAATTACGACAAGGTATTTGCCTAAATAAATGGTAGTCCAAAAGAAACATGAACATTCTACAAGATGGGATTAATATTGTTTCCTACTTTTTTCTCTTTTTGTTTATTAAATATACTATTTATATTTGCAACACCTCCTATTCCCCCTATTCCTGTTCCAGCTAATGAGCCTACTGTAATCTATGCTAAAAATCCCAATGCTATCAATATAAATCTCTTTACGCGCCTTTTGGGGCACATCCAAGAATATATTTCCTCACAATTTCTTGATGATGAAACATATTCATCTACATTACGAACTATAAATATTGATTTCCGCAGATCAGGGTTTAGGATCACTGTAAATTTATATGTTTTAGATCCTGGAGTCATTGGTCAAGAAAGTCTTATACCATATGCTTGCACTACTGATCCAACAAGTCCAATAGGCTTTCAAGGTGATGAGCTGCACACCATTTTTGAAAGTCTTCTAAGATTTGTTCGAGCAAGAGCTGCATCAGATGTATTTGGGATATCTTTCTGTGGAGAAATTCGTGTTGTATTTCTCAATCTTATGATGGATTATGAGCTAACAATACCACTCCCCAAGCTTCCCCAAAATATGTTAATGCATGTAAATTTTACTAAAGCCTACAAATCTAAAGTACAAGAACAGACTTTAATCCCTTGGCATATAACAAGTCAACATGAAAATTGTTGGGCATTTTCAACTATACTTATTGGTCAAAAAGCTGATATAGTTGGCTCTTATATTCAAATTGACAATAGTTTAACCTTGCCAAATAAAAAATTCAGGCTAACATTGGGGAGTGATTGCAAATTAAGGTTGTATAGAATTGGATATAGTATCCCACTTTGGATTAGCAAACATAAGTATAAACCCAGCCCAAGTTGTTATGCACATCTACAAAAGGATGGAAATTTTGTTACCAAGGAAGATAATAACTATGATCAAAGTAGGATTTATTGGGCTAGTAATAACTATTGTATACCACAACCTTCATGCAAAATAATAACAACATTAACTGTTAGTAACCATGGAAATATTATTATTTATTGGAAGAATCAAGTTCTATGGAAAGCCTTGTAGTAGATTAATAAACTGACATGTGTTGGTATTTGGTATTTCATTAATCTAGATTAGAAATGTGTCACATCTTCTTATATTTTCAATAAAATAATTTCTTATTACTAAATACTAACTTCTTCACACTAGTGTTATATTAAATTTAACACAATGTGATTTCATTAGTTAATTTAAAACCACACTATTATTAATTAATAATACCAAGTTTGAAATAAAACTTTGTAAATCTTTTAGTTAATAAACTTAAAAACTAAAATTGCTTTGGTCTAATCAATTTCATTATATTGCTGATTTATATATAAAGACTTAATTATATGGATGGCTCAAATTCAATCCAGCTTTGTTGATAATATAATTGGCTTATTATTTACATTTCAGAATATGTGCTAAATAAAATTATTAATTTTAATATGTTGAAAACAAAATGAGTATGTGAGTGCATGGAATATGGAACAGGAATATAGAAATATGCATATCAATTAGCCCAAAAACCCTAGCTTATATACAAAAGCAAGTGGTCCGGATTGAAACCAATCTGACAGCTACCAAAATCCCACTACGCTAATATTAGTATACGGCATCGTAACCGTACACTTGGCCCTCACATCATCCCCTCCTCTTGGAATAATGGAAGGCCATCAGGGTTCTCTTGTAGATGGGCCGGGATCTGGAGGAACGTCAGGAGGAGGCATCGGTGGATCTGTAGACGGTATTAATTGCTCCTGATCCCTTTCTATAAAGCGTTTTAACCGCTGCACATGCACAATCTCCGGAGGATCAGCTTGCTGAACGTCATGCCGAACCTCATAAACTTGTGGTCCAACTTGCCACAACACCTGATACGGTCCTTTCCACTGCGCAAGGAGCCCCTTAGATAAACCACATACCGTAAAATGGGGAAAACGGACTAACACCAAATCATCCACTTTGTACTCCGCAGGTGGACGATGATGGGAATTGTAGTGCCGTTGTTGTCCCACTTGTACGCGGCCTAAATGTTCAACAAACTCTGCTCGGACAAGTGGAAGAATGCTTGTCAAATATTGATCCCATGACTTAGCATCAGGAGCTCGTGGCAATCGCAAAGGTAAACCCAACTCTGTTGGTAATATTGGATCATGACCATATAGAAGTTTATATGGTGAAGCACCAACAGAACTCTGCACCCCTGTGACATAGGCATACCGAAGAGACGGCAAATAACCATCCCAATCCGAATGCTGAAAGTTCACATACTTCGCAATCATCCCTTTGAATGTCCGAACGAGCCGTTCCACCAGACCGTCTGATTGTGGATGATAAACACTCGTAAAAGTGTGGCATATCCCCAACCGAGATGTCAAAACATGAAATACCTTAGCCATAAATGCAGAACCATTATCCGAAAGAATCCGCTCTGGACAAGAATGCTGGAACACCACTCAATTGAGGAGGAAGTATCCAACAGCAGTTGCAGAGGCACTAGCAAGAGCACCAACTTCCACCCAACGAGTCAAGTAGTCAGAAGCAATAATAACATACTCATTGCCAGCAGTCAATCGTGGAAAAGGTCCCATAAAATCAAATGCCACCAACTCAAACGGACGGGAAACTACAATTGACTCCAACCGTCCTTCCGCAGCACAAGGAGGAGTATTATGAGCTTGGCACCAAATGCAGCTACGCACATACCAGACAATATCACGTCGCATCTCTGGCGAATAGAAAGACCTGCACAGCTTCTCGGTGACATGACGGTGTCCCATATGCCCACCTAGAACAGGAGAATCATGGTAGGCATGGAGAAACCGCGGAATAAACACCGAAGGCACCACCAACCGTAAATGATCATCAGGATCTGTCCCCACAAAATAAAGAAGGCCATCTTCAAGGCGATATTGAGAATGTAAATGCCGGAAAGGCAAGTCATCAGCAAGTGATGCAGGATTCTCAAACTCATCTTGAAGCCTTCGAATCCACGGTGTAAGCCACAAATTTTTCCTTTCCAATTTGCCAGCTTACCTCGTCTATCCGTCCAACACCGCCTTAGCCTTCGCTAAGTTCCCTTGCCAAGGTTCTCACCTATGGTACCAGCTCCTACTTGGTCTCAGCTACTCACTGCACAAGCAACGGAGTGTTAGCCATCAATCCACGGATTCCCAAATCATTCCCAATCCCCCTCCCCGGGTTAGACTGGACTTAAGGTTCGGCTACACTTCCCGCAAGCACAAGCAGCCAAGCACACCAAGCTTCCAGGTTCCTAACTTCCCTTGGTACCACAAGACTTGATCATGGGACCCTCTAAATCCCAAGTCTTGAGTGCAACACTTGCTTCGGGACACCGGGGCGAAACACCGTGGCCTAGCGGCCCGGTAGGGGTACCTCTCGCCCCCCACTTCCATCCCGAAGGAAGGCCCAAGCCCCTAGGAAGGGCGAGGACCAATGAGCCGCATGGTACTCAAGTGGGGCACCACTCCACATGAGCCGGGAGCACCGCAATCGGTTTCCCTTTCGGGAGTGGGAGCTGCTCTTGAGCACTTCCTTGGATGGCCCCTCCGGCACCAGCCAAGCCCATGCTCACTCCCACCCAAGGCCCCTCGGTCCCAGTCTCAACCTCAAGTCGGTTTGGAAGCCCAATTGGAGAGTCCCTTC